CTGTTTCTCTGACGAAGAGGTTGTAATACGAGGTCTAAGTACAGGGATTTTCACCCAGCATCTGACGTTTGCATACTTGCACAGCATTTTCAGCTTGACTGTGATTTGCCAGGTATTCCAGGGCATTGCATTTTAAGATGCAGGGAGACCTGGTTTTGCAGCAAAGGCCTCTATTCTAGTGAGAGAAACGTTTGATCACACCGTCTGGCCTGTCTTAAAATGGAGTGCGTTTGGAACATAAAAGGCAGAGAACACAAGACAAGCACCAACATATTTCTATTCTTCTAGTCATTTGCGAACACACCCACCTCAGAACGGGGAGAATCCCCTTTGATGGTAATGGGAGGAAAACAAGGGAGGGATCAGGAATGTGTGACTGAAGCTGGAGAGGGCGAGAGACCATTCCTTAGGGGGGAAAGCATACAGGCAGCTGCAGAAAAGCTTTATGCTGTAGCGTACTGCAGCTGGTGTCGACAAACCTGCACAAGGAGCGTAATTTGCATCCGGTCTGCAGAAATTCTTGATACTGACTTTGCATTTGCTTGCACTTGCGTAAATGGTTACACCATGTGTAGGCCACAGAAAATTAGGACCTAATTTTAGAAAAATTCCAGTCAAGATAGGTCTTGCCGGGTATTTGTAAGTGCTATTTGTAAGATCCATTGTCTTGGGTGAGTAAACCCCAAAACGAACAAAACCGCAGCCATTCGGTTACTTTTCACGGACTTCAGCAAACGGTCGGGCAGTACCACACAGGAAATCGGCCGTCCCGCCGTGCAAGATGGGTTTAGTGCACATTTAAGATAAAGAAGTAGCTAAAGAGAAAAGGACTGGTGCTCCCAGCAGAACTGAAATGCAGGAAAACTCGTCAGTGGAGTTTCCCTGTGATCAGTCCAGGGATTACCGATATCCTTTACGTTCTAATGACTTGTCTGTAAAAGTAAAATTGTTCTGATTACATTTTTCATGCCACTAAGTTGAGAGGCTTCTTCAGTACAGACAACATTTGGAAAAGCATGCAGGAAGATGGGATTCCTTTGAGGGCTGGAGTCACATGGAGTCAATCAAAGTGCTGGTACTTGAGCAGTAGCCAGAATTTCTGCTGAATTTCATCAGTTGGGAGCGCCAAGGGAAACTACTGGGCCTATCGGTTGTTCGCAGGATGGCTCTACACAAGATGATGCACCTGTAGATACGGCAAGTGCCTTAGGCTGTGTCCAGCGATGTATTTCTACTAGGAAACAGTAAAGTATAAATACCGCTGTTGAAGTTTGGAATACTTTTTGCAGAGCTGGTTACCTGTATATCTAAAACATGAATTCAAAGGTTAATTTCTAGAAGGCAAAGCATGTTCGGAGGGGGTGTTTTTCTTGCAAGCACAGGAAAAAATCCCTGGGAGTCGGGGATCACTCTTTCAGCTTAGTGTGCCTCTGCAACAGTCTTTTAAAATGTGTAAGAAGGAGAAGTTTCGGAAATACTTTTAAAGGGGAACTTGGCTAATTTATTAGAAAAATTATACAATGTGGCTGCAAGTCGTAGCTGGAAACTGGATTCTGTAACCCAGGAGGTCATTTCCAGCTCTATACTTCTTGTGCAATAAATATAATTTTCCCAAGCCTTTGTAAAGCTGGCACTTCTAAGTCCATCCCCAGTGACATCTGCTGTGCGGAAGCCAGTGGCAAAAAGGGCAAGACTGGAAGAATTCAGTACCATGTGTTTGTACTCTCAGATCTTATGACTAGATGAGATGCTTTCCCTCTGAGAGGGGAAAATTGTCTCCAAAAGCATCACATGATTGAGCCAGAATTAAAATGCAACCAAGAAGTCAAAAGCTGATAGCAGAATGTTATGGATGTGCACTGCGTTGACTACAGGTCCAGACTTGGGCGTCGCGCGCGTAAGCAGTTTCAGTCACGAGCCGGAGGGTGGGCCCTGTGCCTCTATTCACTACGGGAATCGCTGCTAACACACAGGGCCTGAGAGAAACTCACTCTTGCCCAGATAACCCACTCTTTAGCCCTCACGGAGGAGGACTGCAGACCTGATCAAGTAATGCACGCCAAAGCCAGCCACGATACAGTGAAGACCGTGGACAACTACGTTCTGCCAGTCTTACCGGCTGGAGCTCCGTGCTGGACTGGGGGCAGCTGCGAGGAGGAAGAGCCACGCTGGGGAGAGGAAAGGCGCAGAAGGGCTGCTCCAGGGGAAGGTGCTCCGTTCCTTGGACAAGCAACGTGGAGGCAGCGTCATTACTGCAAAAACACTGCAAGAGGGTGGTAGCAGCAGTGGGACAGCATTGCTGCTGCTGCTGCTGCTTCCTCAGTTCCACAGCGTCTGCTGCAGCCGTGGAGCGGCTGATCAACCTTTTGCCCCCTGCGCTAGCCCTTGCTACGCTGTCCTCCTGGCAGGACACCTCTTGCGTGGAACCCAGGCTAAAAACCTGGACAGTTTAGTAGCCGTGGTCTCTTCTGTGCTGATCAATGTCTCGCTTTGTAAGATGCTGTGACTTAACCATTTAGGAGCCACTGGTCTGATGCGTGGGTATGTGGGCTTCTCAACATTCATTTTAATTGCAAAGCTGCCATGCCATTCACCAGCAAATGTCTGTGACTCTGGATCTCCTTTCAGAACAAACCTTAAACTGCCCGGGCAGAGTCTTCCCTGTTCAGAAGAACAGGGTCTCAAAGGAGCAGTGCAACAAGCTGAAGTGATGGGGTGCAAGAAGCTGCAAGTTTCTAATTCATGACCTTCTATCTGATACCTGCTTTGGCAGCGCATCTGTATGATGCTGGGAAGCGAGACTGCTGGCAGCACCCGGAGGCCCTGGGGATCCACAGAAGCCAGAGATCCGCACATTCAAACCCAACACCCCGGCAGAAGGCAGCGGTCCATCTGGTGCGCTGCTCCTGCCCGCTGTTCATTTTGGAGACCATTGCCCTCTGCCGGCACTGCCTCCCGGTGCTGAGGTCTCTCCGGAGTGGCACCATTTCTCATGGGAAGCGGAAGCCCGGCAGCAGGACCCGCTCTGCTCTGAGCCCAGGCATCACCGATGGGTGACAGCACGCAGGGCAGCTGGGGGGGGGATTGTGATGATCAGCCTGTGGCACCAGGGCCTTGCAAGCAGTTGTCCTCAAGTGTGCCTTGACACGGAGCGTCCCCTTGCTCTCTGCTCACGAGTGCGTTGGTCCCCTGGTCAGATGGGAGGTGATGCAGCAAGTTACAGTGTAAGCAACAGCACAGTGGGCTATAAACTGTAAAATCGCTCTTCTCCTGCGACTGTGGAGTGCAGTACAGCCACTTGCCTGTCATATAATAAGTGTTGAATAAACTTTTCCTCACTGACCCCACGTAGCCAGTGTGGTACAGTTGCAGCCAAACGCTACAATGGGGAGTGTTGGGAGGGGGGGATCTAGAGGGGCTCCTGCTAGGGCTTGAGAAGAAAAATGACGAGTGTGATTTCAGCTGCGTTTAGGTGCAACAGAGCATCGCTGATGGAGTGCTGGGACTGCACAGGGACAGCAAAGCAGCGTCCCCAGACAGGATGGGTGAGAGTCCAACAGCAGCAATAGCTTTGCCTTGTAACACAGCCCCTCGGTTTTACAGGACACGTCACAATACAGGCAGCACCGCGCTGGCAGTAAAGTCTGGAAAACTTCTGCTAGAAGTGAAGGATTAACGTAGAGAGTCCGGAAGGGCAAGACCTCAGGGTGAGAACATGTTCACCTGGAGCTCCTTGGCTCTCTTGCTGCATTTCCTGGTTGTTGTGATGTTAATTGTGCAACTTCCACCCCAAATGAATGCAGGTTTTCTACATTTAGCACCAGAGGTCTTTTTAAGGAAAATGGGAGGGGTTTTCGTGAAAGGGACACTGAGGTTACAAGATGGTCACAAAGCTGAAGGTAGGCACATTTTGTCTTAACATCCACAAAATTTGTACTGTTCTCATGCGAATCATTCTGTAAAGTTATCCCTGGCCTACAAAACGCTGACTGTGAGCTGCTGGAGTGCTGCAGCCACTGCTTTTCACCGTAAGCAATCCTGCTGTAACCTGTATCTGTCTCCAGTTGTCTCTTGTCTTAAGCCACAGCTGGATCACAAGTGACTTGCAGCAGCAACGCTAGCTTAAATCGTTCCTGTCCAATCCCCTGGTCCTGGCTGCTCAGTCAATGCTACTGCTGTGTGGATACAACCACGCACATCTGCAGTGTAAATCAGACCAGTGATGACTCCGGGTTAAAAATAATCCCCGTCAGGTGCAAGTTCTCTGCTGTTCTTTTTTAAATCTGAGATTAGTATCCTGATCCAGCTCACAGAGCATTTCTGTAGGCAAGATGTGTAAGAGCAAGGGAGGAGGGTGGAGGGGCGGGAACAAACAGCCAGAAACTGGACGTGCTGCGTTGCCTCCAAAGCCCATTTTATCCAAGCAAAGACTCACGTGAAGGCGCGCTTCCCGGCAGCGCGAGCTGCTGCGGTTGCACATCCCAGGTGCTGGTCCTGCCCGCCAGCAGCGTTGGTGCCAGCAGACCTTGCGGGCAGCAAATTGCTGAGAACGGATATTCTTCCGGGGGTCTGGGAGCTTTCAGCTGTCCGGGTCCCCAGCCACAGCACAGGGAAGGGTCATGGGAGAAGGGGGAGCAGTGTCCACCTGGGCAAACCCAGGCTGCCCCAGAACTGCATGCTAAGATCATAAATTGGAGCAGACACTCTCTTTTGTCAGCTCTTCTTCATAGTATCTAGCACTGCGTGTGGCGATTCATCGGTGGGTGTCACATCATTACATTAACATACGGATAAGAAACAATGATATTAAGCAATTATTATTGTTACCAAGCGTGAGGGTCAATCATAATTCCCAGTTAGGAAGTCACAGACTTTATCAGCACAGCTGATGACTACCTTGAACCATTCAGAAGGGTCTTATGGCTTGGGCTGGCCCAGCCCTCGGTCACGCTGACTCCCTGCACCTGTGCAGAGCTCCTAGGACGATCCTGCTTCCATACCGGGACCAGCACAGCGAGAGCTGGGCTGCAGGTGAGGAGTCAGCAATGCTGCCATGAGGTAAGCGAGGAATTTTTCTACTATGTTGTGTTTTTCATTTTTCCTATTCTGAAACTCGATCAGAAATTTTCTTTGGGGCTTTTAGAGTTAGAACTAAGGGACTTTTGGGTAGAGACCAAGCCTGGGGAAATGTATACCAAAAATGACTACCTGGGGAAGCCTTGATCCAACAGGAGGGAGGGTTTGACAGTATATATTGAAATCTGTGTTCCAAAACAGAGCTAAGAATATCAAAGCAATTTTTTTTTTTTTTTTTACAATTGTATTTGGTTTTGGCCTTCAGAGATACAAGAATAACTGGTTCCCATATAAGTAAAACAGAGACAGGGAAGAGTTTAAGGAGACAGTGAGGACTGGTGCTCAAAATCTTCACAGCCACGTGCTCTCACTAATGCTCAAAGCACAGCAGGGCCTTTCACAGCAGGTGAATATATTACTGCTCCCGATCAAAAGGAGCAAAGTGAGTCAGCTTTTATCGTAGCCTCTGGCCTAAATCCTTTTATAGGGCTTGTGATGCCTTCGGGCTTGTGCCCCCACTCAGGGGGCCTTGGGTCTGCAGGACTGAGCTCCTGTTTCTGCAGCGTGGCTGGATCGCAGCCGCTTCCACAGACAGCCCCCACGGTGTGGGGCGGCTGCTGGGAGAACAGCAGCGTTCCAGTGACCCGAACGTTTCTAGAGGAATGGCAGAAGGATAATCAAGAGCCTCTGATAGAGCTCGCAGTTTCAGTGTTAAATAACACCCGCTCACGGCAGTTGAGGGGGGGCAGGACTCATTCCAGAACTATTAATATAGCCCCTATTTATACTCCTAGGTTCCTGCGAACGGCGCAGCAGAGCTACAGCTGCAGAGCTAAAATGGAATAAATGTCAGCCCCCAGGGAGAAAGCGATCCTTTCGGCCATCATGTGGGAAAGGAGACGGTGAAAGGACAGAACACGGGGCAGGTTTCAGACCTGAGAAAGCGGAGTGAGCTGATCGCGGTACCCTGAGATTGCAGCCGGTGGGCAGAGCCAGGCAGTAACCTCCCTGCAGCCAGCAAGTCTGCGCTGAGAGGCTGCCAGAAACGCACACTCAGCGTCACACGCAGCACCTACCGATACTGGTAGAGACAAGGCGGGGATTCGAGCTGCCGCTCTACTGATCCCGTACCAGGTCTGACTCAGGACAAAGGAGCAAAAGCCTGAAAGGACGTTTTGGGGGGGGCTTTAAGTGCATTGTCTGCTGGACCGGAAAGATGATGGAGAGCACGGGAGGGCCGTATCTGAACATCGCTGCTGTGACATCCCCTGTGGGAATAGCTCGTTTGCTGCAGATGACGTTTGGATGCACCACGTTCAGCCTGGTAGCCCACCGGGGGGGATTCAGCGCAGCATACGGCACTTTCTGCATGTTTGTCTGGACCTTCTGTTTCGCCATCACTGTCTTCATCATCACCTGCGAATTTACACATCTGCACAGCTGCCTGAGCATTTCCTGGGGGAACTTCACTGCCGCTTTTGCCATGCTCGCCACGCTCATGTCCGTCACGGCCGCGGTGATCTACCCGCTCTACTTCGTCCAGCTTGGCTGTTACCCCATCGGCTGTGAGGTGAGAGACTTTCGCATCGCAGCCAGTGTCTTCGCAGGCCTCCTGTTCATTGCGTACGCCGCCGAGGTGTTCTTAACCAGGGCAAAACCCGGACAAGTCACCAGCTACATGGCCACCGTCTCCGGGCTCCTGAAAATCGTGCAGGCCTTCGTGGCCTGCATCATCTTCGGGGCGCTGGTGAACGACAGCCAGCATGACAAATACGTGGCGACGCAGTGGTGTGTGGCCGTCTACAGCTTTTGCTTTGTGGTGACAGTGGTGGTGGTGGCCTTCAGCGTCACAGGTAAGACCGCCTTGCTGTGGTTCCCCTTCGAGCGTTCTGTGGTCGTCTACACCTTCGGGGCCGTGCTGCTGTACATGAGCGCAGCGGTCATCTGGCCGGTGTTCTGCTTCGACAGCAAGTACGGCTCCCCGCGGCGCCCCGACCTCTGCGCCAAGGGCAGGTGCCCCTGGGACAGCCAGCTGGTGATTGCCATCTTCACCTACGTGAACCTGCTGCTCTACATTGTGGACCTGGCGTACTCCCAGCGCATCCGCTTTGTCTCGCACCTCTGAAATGTGGGTCTGCTGCTGCAAAGCCGTCCCAGCGCCGTAAGCAACAGCAGTCGGGGACGCAGCAGGAGACGGGATGCAGGGAAGGGAGGTGCTGATCAGGCATGCGCGCAAGAACCATCAACCAAACTTCAAGGTCAAGACTGACTGGACCAGCAAATTAACCACCTGTAGTGGGTGGGCTGCAGCTGATGCTGGGAAAAGCCCACCTCCCCCATCGTTCAACATCTGCCTCAGCCGCCTGGTGCCAGAGCGAAGAAACGACACAGCTCAAAGTATGCAAAATGGCCTTTCATCTCCAGGCGGCAGAAATGCTTGCTGCAACAGCGGGTCTGCAGGCTACTGGATTACTGAGCCAAATATTAGGAAAGACACCAAGGATTTTGAAACTGTTACCAACGCTTAACCATAATCAAGTGACTACCCAGGAAGTGGGAAAGTTAAAAGCTGCATCAAGGAACACCAGTTCTGGAGATGAAAAACAATCCCTTAGAGTTTGGGTTAGTTTGGGCTGTGTGGTGAGACATGAAATGCTTGCAAGTGTGGGAAATTCCAGTCGGGATGTTTCTGAGAAGAACATCATAGCTGTAATAGTATTTTGAAGATTACCAGTCCTTTCCCTTCCTCTCCTCTCCTTCGCTGTTTAGCATAGAAAAAGAATATCCTCAAGCATGCACCTTGGAGAGGGGAAGCATGGGATATTCCTATTTAGCAAACACTGAGTCATTACAGAAATGAAAATTTGCAAAATCGGGGCTCTACTGCCAAGAAACAGGGTGCAGAACAGGGCTGAAATGCAAAATAACCCTGTGTAACTCGACATCCTCGCTCGAGCAGGACCAGAAGGTACCTTGGCACGTGCTTTGTCTCGGTTCATATGCCACCGTTTCTTTATACTGATGTCAATAATTTTTTTTTTTTTTTCCTGGAAGCTTAAAGATAAATTCTGGGGGGAGGGGGGAAAGGGATGCAGAGATGATTTGATCTCACAGCGCTGCATAAAAGACCAAACCTGGGGGGGGCACGGACGGGACAGGACACGACAAAACTTGCTTACAGCGGTAACAAATTGGGAGCGCTGCCTCGGACCAGATCAGGCGCTAGGATTCCCGAGCTCTTTGAGTCACCAACGAGCTGCATTTCTCTGACCCATCCCTGACAAAACACCCACTTTGAAGTCCCACATTGCATAGCTCAGATTTCAAGCTTAATAGGAAGAAATGTTCTTCATTTCTGATCCAGCGAGAAACCAAAGCAGTCCGAGTACTTGTGCAGAAAGCATGCAGACTAGATAGGTTTGATTGAAATCTAAAGTAGCTGACTGTCAGAAGCAAGATTTATTTTTTAACCAAATTAAAATAAAGCTGAATGGCAGACTTACATACTACATCTCCAGAGATTTGCATGCTTTCATCTTGCTCTCCACGCAGCTTTTATTGCGCCAGACGTAGCCCTTCTGCTTTCTGCCGGAAAGCACAGCTCAATTTATTTTGATGTATGAAGCCTGAACACAGCCCCAAAAAAAGTATATACACAAGACGGCCGAGACCTCTGACTGACATTCTTTGGGGCAGAGTCACTCAGGAAAAAGGAAGGAAGCTTACTTTTCATCAGTGCTTTGTATGGGGTTTGAAAAGCAAAGGAAAAAATTGTTGGGACGGATTGCGTTGGATAATTCTGCTACCGAGTAAGAACCAGCCTTCAGCAGCGGGAATTATTAGCCCGTGAAACAGGTCAAGAATCAGCGTCCAGCATAAAGGGAATGCACTGCACGGCCTCCCAAGGGGTTTTTCTCTTCCGCGAGTCCCCGTTAAGGGCAGGAAGTCTGGAAGATAATGGTCCAACGAGAGGCTGGCCAGCTCGTTCCAGGGCATGACCCAAGACTATCCACTGTAGATATAAAACAGGGTATTAGACAGCTTTATTTCTTGCCACCCAAACAAGTTAAGGGGTTGTACAAATAAGAGATGCTAACTTGGGAAAAGAAATTCTTTTGGAGGAGGCAGTGTACAGAGAGCCACTGCACGCAGAAGGAACCTTGAGCATTTATGATGTATTCTTTTTAAACCTGTCAACCTGGACAAATCAAGCTGCGTCACGCGTGAAAATTACTTATTTTTTGTTATTAGAGAGCACTAAAAATCAAAGAGGTGACCGCGCGCCATCATGGCTTCTGTTATAAAATTCAAACCTGCAAACCCAGGAATATTGCTTTACGAAAGCACCTTCCTGTAGACTCCGGAGTGGCTCTGAGGGGGCTGGTGGAGGCCAGGGAGAGGGACGTCAGCGGCAGGTGCCCCGCAGGCAGGGGCCGCTTGTCCCCAGGGAGGACACTGCAAGTCTTTCGGGCAGTGAAGTCTGTCGGAAAGCTCCTCGGCCGGTTAACCCTTTTTTTTTCAGCTACGCATTTGCTCGCTTTTTGCTGTGAAGATTTTGCACCAAGCAGGAGCAACCAGCAGGAACAGGATAAAATCTGCTAATGGCACAACTTGATGCAGCTTACACGGTGCCAGGGACATAAAGAAAGGCCCAAGAGAAACAGGTAACTGGGAAACAATGGGGGTGAAACTTAGTGCCTTCACAATAAGGAGGAAATAGAATTTAACGTGGAAATCATGACACCACTGACTGGAGGAGTGGAAAGACAAGTCATTGCCAAGAACAGCGTGTTCAGATTTAGCTTTCTCATCTGCCAGCCAAAGACTGAGCAAAAAATGTTAGCATGGTCAAAATGGCAAAAAAAGATTGTGTGGACAACAATCCACTCTTTTAGGAGAAAAAAAAAAAAAAGAAAAAAATCAAAACCTCATGCTTCCGTGGTTAAAACACTCGCCAACCATTGGAAACTATGAGATTACCCAATCTAGGACAGAGAACATCCGATATCGGCTTAATACGATTTTAACAACCAACCCTGCCGTGATTCAGTTAATTAAGAAACCCTTTATTTCCAGAGCTCATCCTTCCCCTCAATTAATAAATCGTAATCAAGTAACTTGTCTTCTGCCGTAAGACAGGCTTCCTAAAACACCGCTCATTCTCAACTTTTTTTGGTAAACTAATGTCAGAATGTACATGCATTCATTTAGAATTACGGATTTGTGTTTGCAGCCGATCTAGACAGCTCCTAGAGGATTCCAACCTGAAATATATACATATAAAAATCTGAACCTTTAATGGGTTGGGTTTTGGTTTTGGTTTTTTTTTTTTTCTCCTTCCCTTCTCTTTCTGAAGACGGGGATTCGGTATCCCCAAAAGACAACGTTTAGGAACATTCACCCACCGGAGATACACTGAGATTTATTTGTGTCAATAAAGGAGTAAGAAAAAAGCCAAAGCAGAGGAAAAAAAAAACCAAAACAGTGTGGTAAGATTATTTAGGAAAAAAATCACTGCCTGCTGCCTGGTTTTTACAGTGACATACTTCAAAACGTCTTGGTCTCTTCACAGTCCATTGCTGTGGGCCTTTGAGCGGAGCCATGCCACGGGGCGTCTCTCTGAAGCAGGCGTTAGTGCTCCTGCCGCGGTGGGACCACACATGCCTTCAGCCCGAGGATGCCCGCGCCGCCCTGCACGGCGGCCGCGACACTCGTTGCCGTTATCTGTTGGTTGCGCTGACGTAACTTTGTCTGGCCACCGGGTTACAAAACTTCCATCCCGGTGGAAGCGTAGGAAGATCCCCTCATTCGGGAAATCTGTAGGTAATTCCCAGACAATGAGAAAGCCGCCATTCCGGCACCAAAGGCTGCCCCGGCCACTCTCCAGCAAAACAAGAACCCG